GACAGAGCATAGATAAATATCACAACAAGCAACCGAGCTCGATGCCGACGCAGCAACATACTTCACAGGCACCACCAAAATGTTTTGTTCGCTTCACAAAGCATAAGCTGCATTACCCACAGTGCGCTAGATACTGCAGCAGTGCAATCTGATAATCCGAGCATGGCATCGTTGCCAGCTTTTCGTACTTGCCTCGCATCCAGGATGCCCCAATCTTATTCTAAAGATTGCACAGGGGAAGGCGCATCGGACAGGACGAGTGACATCTGGCTGATGGAAATCAATTCCTGCACTTGTAAGCGAAATCATCGCCGACACTTTGAGAGCTCAATCGCTATTTTTGCATGCACGCACTTTCACGTGTTTTCCTGCACAGTTGATCCCGCCTCGGAAATGCCGTCATCTTGATTTTTTGTAAACACTACGAATACTAATACGTTGTGTTGGGACCCCGAAGGGTGAAGCTTTTAGTGACTGTGCGCAAGCTGAATGCCGAACTTCTCGAATCGTACTTATCTATCGGCTCGTCTGTGTGTCTGTAAATGACGCTGGGTGTACCATGTAAATCGTACTTGGTGCGATCTAGCATGTCCCCCCTCATAGGTATATAGACATAATCGAAGTCACTCATAGGCCAGGTCATTATCGTGGCACACGCACGTAATTCACATAAAGTCGATCAAAGGTGAATATGATCGTATAAGCAAAAGCTCGACGCTCAGAAGCAATGGCCGATCGCGTTGCCCTAGCCTACTATACTGGACGATTACAAAGTCAAGAAAAATAAACTCATTCTCTAGTGATTACTATTGTATTGTGTTTTGCAACTTGATTTAATTATCTCAACTGAATTACTGACATCAAGGGGCGATCTCGAGAGCTTTCTCCTCCTATTCTGAAATATTTAGAGGTTTTGGTCAATTCAATTCTCGGTAGAAGATCAAGCTTACTACATAAGATAAGGAAGCAAGCTCTGAAGCCCGCTCTTGATTTAAGTAGCTCAGTCCGTATGACTGAATTGAGCTCTTTCATTTGCACATACATAATGAGTTCCAGGCTACAAACGAACTCTGGCGCTTTCTTGATTCGATAACTCTTCATGACATTTTTGGATGGAGAGGCTCCGCCCGATAGATGATCCTACGTTACCCAAGGAGATCCACATGGCGTCCTCCCGAGCCGATTTTCGGCGGGCGGTTATTTGGGTTCGTTACTGTACTCACCTATCCGGTAACACCACTTCGGATTTTGTGCTAACACGAGTGCGCTCGGCACTGGCAGATAAAATTCTGCGGCTTTTCCTAATGCCGCCATTGCGATCACTAGTTTCAGGGCGGTTGCCCACGGACAAATTTCTTCTTTTCTTTTCTGGTGCATCGCACGATGACCCCGGTCTTCGTGGGTCCGGATCCATCGTAGTCCGACTATATGCGCAGTCAAATGCGGCAAGCAGTGTATTGGTTGAAGGCTTTGGCGTCGGCTTGTATTCAACTTCCGGCACCGTGGCTGCGTACCGCGGTCTTGTTTTGGTTTCGAACGGCTAAATACAGCGGCTCTATGCTGCTGCACGTCATTGAAGACGATTCTCTAGTCGATTCGCAACTTCAAGTACAACAATCGGCTAGGCAACCGCACCTCGCTACACTAAATCGTACATCCTGGGCACTAGCAGATGATGTCCAGGTTGCTATCTGCACTCATCATCCCCGCGATTATAACAAGATGGCTGACCTTGCTGCGGCCGTAGCACTCGATAACAACCTCTCGTTTCAAGTTTCTGCACTGCCCGGTCTTTGCGTCACTCAGATAATCTAACAATTTGTCCACCTCGATGTCTCGCATAGGCTCGAGACGTCACGTCACAGTGACATCGGGCAACTGAATAGCCTCTCGCCGTCCGCCCGCGACCGGGTATCAATACATTATTGAATAGACGAAAGGTAACGTGCTGTCTATCCAGACACACTATAGTCTAAACTATATAGCTTTACGAAGTAGCGCGTACTATTTGGTATGGGTATTGCTGTTCGCTATCCTCCTTCGATATTCTTCATTTATAAGCATGGTCACCTACGTTGCGATTTTTCACTAACAATTGTACCAGTGGGCTCGCAACAATTCATATCGACCAATGAAAAAGGATTAATGCTACATTGCACTTAGTTCAACGTATATACTACACGTGATAGAATTTACAGAAACAAACTTAGGAAGGAACAGGCTGATCGCACTTAGAACGGCGTGTAAGGTACACCAAGCTTATATCCACAGACGAATACAAAAGGGGAAAAAGACTAAATTACAATACGATGTATAAGGTGCACCGAGCGTTATTTACATGCGATGGGGAGCAAGCTCTGGAGCTCGCCCTATGATACGATTAATTTAGTTCATTGAGCTGAATCAAGACGCAAAATACTTTAAAAATGCAGACACTAAAGAACGAGTACAATGCTGATACGTTCTAGCTTAACTCACTACAGTATGGTAGGGCAACGCGATTGGCCTGTGCTTGGAGGCGTGTAGCATTTGCTTGTGTGATCATATTCACATTTGATCAGTTTGAAGCCAATCCTGTGCGTGCGTCATGATTGCAACCTCACCAATAAGTGACTTCGTATGTGCCTATGTACCCATGTGGTGGGTACAGGCTAATTAGCACTTTTTCGCGAGCTTGATGGATGAAGCTATGTGTGAATGTGCGCAAGGTTGAATGCCAAACTACTAAATTGTATCTATCTGTGTGTCTCTGTGTCCGTGTGTCTGTAAATACCGCGTTTAATTGTACTTGACACCGGTAAAGGGCGATCAAGCCTGTCTTCATCATCTAGGTAAACTAACGTTAACAAAGTCACTCTTGGCGAGGTCACTATTGTGACGCACTCACGATATTGGCTATGAATCAAGTAAATAAGAATATGATCACACAAGCCGATGATAGACGCTCATTAGCAAAGACTGATCGCGTTGCTTGAGTAGCATGTACAGTTTCTGTACATAAAATTGTAGCACCACACTCCTTCTTCTTTAGCTACTACTGCATAGTGTTTTACGTCTTGAATCAGTTCTTCGAACTGGATTACTTGAATCAAAGGGCGAGTCCCAGAGCTTGTCTCACCAACAGAAAGTAAGTGAATGGCCCATATACCGGCTAGGGGTATCCTAAATGCTACGGATGTAATCGAAATAAGTTGATGGTCTATCAAAACATGGATCGTGCTGCTATCCTCTTTGCATGTCGCAATGACCACAGGCGCTTCTTTTGTGCCCATAGCCACTGATTCTACGACCTCGGACACTGAACACTAAGGCCACAGGCAATGAATGATTCAGCTGATCATAGTCCGAAAATTTGTACAAACAAAACGCAAAGCCGAATGCAATCTACTTGATCGCGCTGAACGTAGACTGTTAAGCAATTGACCAAGCAGCCACAAGTCAAACAAAGCATCACGATAGGCTGCAAGCAAGAAAGGAGCTCGTACTTATTTCTGATCGAAAAGTACAAAAGAACGCACCTATCTCATAACCACGAAGTAGAACGCTTGCATCTTATGCAAGATATGCCATAAACGTTAAGACATGTGGACAGCTAGTTCGACGAACATCATTTTTGCAACTGGTTCGCAGCGGCGAGCTGTCCATTCTCCCTGCGCCTTTATATTTGCTTACGCTGTTCAAGGGGTGCACATGTATCAAAGATTATCTTTTTGCCAAGTCTGCGCTTCTACTGCTTGATCGTCAGTGCTAAAACGCTAAAAACTAAATCTGCAGTGCACGCTCGTCGGTTGTTTGCATGAAGCATAATGTCGCTGGCGTGCGAGGGCATCTGAAGTTGAAATCTATATGGTTGCTTCGTTTCGACGCGATGTGTAGAACATGCCAATTTGGCCGATAACGTGATGTGTGAGTGCTGAGGTCCAGCATCTTTCCCTAAGCATCCTTTGACGACAGCGCTTCATTGGGGCCGGCTCCAACTGCCGTGTCGCTTTTAGTGCACAGACTTGGCTACCAAGATGCCCTGCATCCATAGCTGACACGTTAGCGTCACGAAGTGACAAGCGAAACGAATTGTGGTGAAGAGGCAGAAAAGCCTTATTGCGCTAGTTCTTTCATATCACCAGAGCTGAGGCCTAAAGTAATTCCACGGGTCTAGCGAACGTGTGAGACAACATTCACGTTCTCTCTGCGTCATGGCGGCGGACGGCCGACGAGCTAGGCGTTGCTAACGTTGTGGAAGGACGACGTGCAGGAGAACATGATGGAGCTGAACAAAGACTACTGCCCAGTGGTTGTGGTCCGTGTCGTCTTATTGGTACACATAGCTTTCAAAGTTAACCTTACACTTTACAGACAAGATACACTTAGGGAGGCGCGTGTTCACTCATTGTGCACGCAGTTGTTCTATGTCGATCTGAAGAGTGGATGCAGAAAGCGTGATCAGTAACAGCTAGATAACCACGAGCAAGCAAACAAAGAAAGTGGCTCGAGTCGTTGTCGAGTGGAATACGCTGGCCGTTAGTTAGCATCCATGTATTGTGATGTTGTGTGTTCCGGCTACGTACTATACAAGCTGACGTTCTTGAGTAATGACTTGTGGTGCTAAAGGCGCGAATCGTGGCGCAAAACGTGCATTGTGGTGAACTCTAAGTCGATACGACAGTACTTGACCACTTCACTGAGTCTATTTGACCGACAATTAAATCGTGCGACAAGACGTCAACAGCTCGATGGCCGAGCTGTTATATCGATGTGTAGCACACGCCCAAAGCTAAATGCCACGGCCTCCTTTTGACTACAGAATGTAAACTCCAACTGTAAAAATGTCAGCGATTACATCAGTGACCCAGGGAAGTTTGCGCAACGATGGATCGACGATGTGGACAGTGGAGGGAAAGGCGTGAAGTGTAAAAAACTCGGCCATCTCTCGTTTATTTTGTAAAGACAGAATCGTGCGTAAACGTTACGGTCGCAGTCGGATGTTGGTCGGTCCTGAATATTTAGAGCGTGTATGGGCTGGGCATGTAAAAGCGCTGCTCTCTTGTGTGCACTAGAACCCCAGCACAACCACAGGAAACGTGGGCCTGACAAAAGCACATCGCGATGAAGACGAGAAAGGAGGAGTGAGTGCAGCTGTATCGATAGTTTGGATGCTAGCGAAAGATAGTTCGCATAGCGCGTACATGATGTAGAGTCGCAACACCATATGCTATAGCTGACACACGATGGCCCAACGTCGACGTACTTTCGTCTGTTGTGTGCTTTTCCATTTGATCGATCGATAGGCCCCACTGTCCCGTTATTACGAATACACAAGGAGATTACGGACAATGAGTTGGTGGAGCATTTGGCAGGAGAGCCAACAGTTGGACACCCACACCGTTCTTCTGGCTTTACTTCCCACGTAAGTCCACCCGCTCTTTTTCGTCTGCTCGTCTTCATTATAGATAGCGCATCCCGACCTTCTTATCTACAGCAAGGCCCAAAGCGGTTGTTGAGCTCTCACTCTCTGGAACATTCACCACTCGACATAACGAGCGCACGTCGCGTCGTCTCCGCATCAAGTTCATGAGCCTTTCCAGGATAAGACCTGCGGGATCGGATAGCTGAACCTGGTTCGAGGAAGTCCAGGTGCTGCTCGTGACACCTCATTCTCCAATTTGACGCCTCTCACAACTGCCTGCAACCCACCTTCACGACCTACACCAACCTTGTAACGGGGTGAATCGTTACATAACAATTTATAAGAAATTGTTAATAGAATATAACTATAAGAGTTATATTCCCAGAATATTGTCATAAGGACAAATATTCTGTAGCACTTACAAGTAGTTCCTAATTGGTTGATATAGACCATTATATCAACCAACGAAGACGCGCCACGACAGACGCACGCAATGAGTGGTGAGCAGATAGTTGATTTACACATTTGTATTTAGACATAGTTAGATGAGGATAAATAGTGATTTATTGCAGACATTAACTATACTAAATACAGTTCTACTTTTTACTTTAACCAAGTACTCGCTTCTTCTTACCGTCTTCCTCTGCACGTACGAGTGTACGTGAGGTTACGAGGCACCGCCTTATTCTGTCATCAGAATAAGTAGCTTGCACTGTCATCAGTACAAGCTTCAGGGTGCCCCGTTACACCTGGTAGCACTTTGTAGTCCGTCCAAGGACCACGTTCACATCTAACATGACTATGTTGGATGATGAAGATGACCAAAGCTTTCACGCTACGCGTGACGGCTACTCCCATTTGAGAGATGTCGAATGGGATGCGGTTGAACGGATGGGTTCAACCATGGGCATCCATGCTGTTAGCGTCATGCTAGAGGCTCTCAATAGAGATGCCCAACATGCTACTATCGCCAAGTTCATTCAAAATGAACTTGACGCTGAACGCGAGAAAGTAGCCTTGCTTCACCAACAAGGTTCTCAACAAGCAGAGTTGTTGAGAGAACAAGGTGCTCAACAGTTTGAACTGTTGAGACAGCAGCAGGCTGCTGCTGGCGGGTCGATGCACTCGCGTCGACCCGAGACTTTGAAGATTGACATCTCAAAGTATAGGGGGGTCGAAGAAGACTCCCTCTTGAGATGGTTCGTCGAATTGGATGACGCCATAAGGGCGCGTCGCATCGACGACGGGGATATGCAAGTTGCATTTGCCCAGTCAAATCTGGCAGGACGTGCCAAGACTTGGGCACTGGGGCTCAAGTTGCACGACCCATATGCGTTTGGGTCGTTGGAAGTCTTCAAGTCGCGGCTCAGACACATGTTTGAACCGCCTAGAGCTGAGTTCAGGGCTCGAACCGAACTCTTGAAGCTCAAACAGGGTAAGCGTGATGTTCACGCTTACGCTCAACATATACGACATCTCACGAGTTGTATAAGTTCCAACCCGGTTGATGATACACGTTGGTTCGGTGTTCATGCAGGGTCTTGCGGATGGTCCCGTCAAGACTCACCTGTTCCGGCTTGAACTAGATTCACTAGAACAAGCCATTTCCATTGCGGAGCAGGAAGACTTCAGTCTGAGACAGGCTCGCGCCAGCTCGACATCGTATCGTCAACCGAGACGATATGACAACGGAGGTCCAGAGCCGATGGAACTCTATTATGTAGAGAGCGAGAAGGCTCGCTCTACAGGCTACAAGAAGTTGCAGAGATGCAACAGATGTCAAAAGACAGGACACTACGCTTACGAGTGTAGTGCCCCTCGTCCAGTGTCTCGCGACACTGGGCGTAGTGACCGTCCACCCATGAGAAAGGGGCAGGGACGAGGGTCCGCTGTTGGTGCAAAGACGCAACAACGGGATGGACCGTCAAAAAACGGACAGGATCAGTAGGTGCGGAGCACCCTACTGGTCTAGCAACGTCAAGAGAATTTGTAGGCCTCTTGATGAAGGTTGCTCCCAACACACAAACGTTGTGCGTTGCTGCTCTAGGTAATGAGGTCTCACTCATTACCTTGAAACTCGAAGTGACGAATAAGTTGTCCCTTCGAGCTCTAGTCGATTGTGGGGCGTCCAACAATTTTGTGCGACGCCATCGCTAGAAGATGGTCACTTTAAGTTCAGTGAATGTGACACACCTCCTACCAGGATGACGGTACGTCTTGCGACAGGCGCATCCGTAACCGTCATGAAGCGTATAGTGAAGATCCACTATACGCTAGAAGATACCCAATATGACGACGACTTTATCGTATTGGATTTGGATGACAAATTTGATGTCATCCTTGGAATACCGTGGCTCAGGAGGTACGAACCACGAGTAAACTGGCAACATCGAACAGTAACGATGCATGCCGCTTGTTCATCAGATGGCCATCTGATGAACGTTTTGAGGCGTCCACAAGCGTGTGGATGTACTACGAGTGAGTGCGATGGCCTCACTTGTGGTACGGTCGTTAGTACGACTGCACAAAACCTTAGTGTACCAAACGGTTACACTTCGGAGCAAAGCTCCGGCGGCTGTGAGGAAACACAGGCTGCGCCGAAGGTCCACCACTCGAATAAGTCGGGTGGACTGGGACAAAAATGTATCCCCAGCGGGGAACATCTAGAAGAGAAACAATCGATCGCTCAGGTTAAGCGAAACGATAATCCTAGATCGACTGGAGAGTCTTTCGTAGAGGATCTCGCTGTGGTTGCGCAACCCCAGCTAGAGGAAGTTAAGGGAATAAGTCCCGATATTACAAATACGGTGGTAACAAGTTCCCCGAAACCCGCGGGAATAAGTCCCCGGGAAGCCGAAGGAATAAGTCCTTCGAGGCCTGAGGGAATAAGTCCCCAGGAAATGACAGAGACATTGAATGTCATAGTCAATAACGGATCAAGTGTAGGTGCTTATACACTTGATCTGATTGCGCCTCCAAAGTTAACTTCGGAGATCACTCAGTTGCCAACGCTCGAACGCAAAAGGTTCTTGCGTGATCTGCGTAGTGGCAAAGTCAAGCAGATCTGCGTACTCGTCGCTGACGACGAGTGTGTAACCGACATAAGGTCAGCAACAGTGTTCACTGAGAACGAGAGAGTTCTCAGTAGTTCATCTATGGACGAGAGTGTCCTAGATGAAAAGACACGAATTGAGCGATATGACTCCCAATCATGGGGAATCGTTCAACACAAATTCTCTCTATGAAGATTTGGTTGAATTCAAGGATGTATTCCCTGAAACTGTTCCGTGCGAATTACCGAAGGATAAAGGTATTCGACACGAGGTCGAGCTTAAACCAGGCTCGAAGTACTGTGTCATGAAGCAGTGGCCACTGCCTCGTGAACAAGTACTTGCGATCGACAAGCTCTTTGCCGATCGTTTAGCTGCGGGCCATGTGAGAGAATCAACTTCCCCACATAGCTCTCCGACCTTCTGTGTGCGAAAAGCAACAGGAGGGTGGCGGATAGTGCACGCGTTCAACAAATTGAACGCTGCAACGGTACCGGCTCAGACGCCGATACCGAGGAAGGAAGTAATCATTGATGGTATGTCAAAGAGTACCATCTTTTCGTCCATGGATTTGATGGATGGCTTCTATCAAATCCTTATGCGAGAATGGGATATACCCTATACCGCAGTTAGCACGCCTAGCGGCATGCTCTGGGAATGGCTAGTAATGCCACAAGGGCTCAGTAATGCCCCTGCCACGTTCAACAGATGTGTATCACATCTGTTGAGACCAGTACGAGAATTCGCGCCGAGTTATTTCGATGACGTGTTCATCCATAGTCGAGCTATGGATGGAAAGTCGGACGTTGAGGTTCACAGGTACCACGTCCGACAAGTTCTTACAATCATGCGAAAGCATCAATTGTATGCTAACCTCAAGAAGTGTATATTCGCAGCAAGCGAAATACCACTTCTTGGGTGCATCGTTGGTAAGAACGGTGTACGTCCTGATCCCGAAAAGATCAAGGCGATCACCGACTGGCCTGTGCCGGTTGATGTCAAAGGTCTTCGAAAATTCCTTGGGCTAGCGGCGTATTTGCATAAGTATTCACGCAATTACGCCGAGATGACTGTGCACCTCTCTCGTTTGTTGGAAAAGAACGAGAGGTGGTTATGGAACGCTAAATGTCAGCGCTCCTTTGAGGGTACCAAGCAGAGCTTGATACAATCTCCAGTCCTAGCAATAGCCGATCAGGACAGGCCATTTCATGTGGTCTGTGATGCCAGCGATTTCGCAATCGGCTGTGCATTAATGCAGTACGATCTTGAAGGCGTTGAACGCGTCGTCTGCTATCATTCGCGTCAGCTGCAACCAGCTGAGCGGAACTATCCAGTGCATGACAAGGAACTCCTTGCCATGAAGTATGCACTCGCGAAGTTCAGAGTCTATCTATTAGGAGATAGACCCTTCATTGTTTACACTGACCATGCGTCATTACGCACGGCAGTGAACAGCCCGCACCTTTCACAACGAATGGCGCGGTGGTTGTCATTCTTTGCAGAATACAACTTTACGGTCGAGTACAAACCAGGACGGCTTAATGTCGTCGCTGATGCACTCTCACGTCGTCCCGACTTTGAAACAGTCGCGAAACCCAACAGTGAGACAGTCACTGTTGCGGTTATGACGTCCTCAGTCCCATCTACAACGTTGTATGATGATGTGAGGCGGGCATGCGCCCAAGATGGTGAGATTGTGAAGTTGTTGACACATCTCTCCCAACCATCCCGAGAATCGTTGAAACGATTGTCGCCTGCGTATCGATCTGCATCAGATCGATACACTACTCGTAACGGTTTACTGTACTATACAGCCGTTTCTGGTGACACACCACGTGTTGTCATTCCAGATGATACTGATCTGCGTTTGCGGATCATGTTCGAGTATCACGATGCTCCTATAGGAGGACATCGTGGCCGCGAGAAAACATATCTCACGGTAAGTCGAGACTTTTACTGGCCCCGCCAGTATCAGTTTGTGCGAAAGTATGTTCGCGCATGCGAAGTCTGTCAACGAGTGAAGTCAAGTCCTTCACTGCGTGCACCTTTACAGCCTCTACCGGTTCCGGCTGAGTGCTGGGAATCCATCTCAATGGATTTCGTCTTCGGGTTACCCAAAGACGCACGCGGGAATACGGGTATTCTCGTATTTGTTGACAGATTCAGCAAAATGGTACACCTTGTGGCTGTACCAGAGACAATCACGGGAAGTGGCTGTGCTTGTGTCTTTATCGACACCATCTTCCGACTTCATGGGTTGCCCCGTGAACTCGTATCAGACAGAGATCCACGATTCACTGCTGATTTCTGGTGTTCCGTGTTCAAATCACTCGGAACGCGCTTGAAGATGTCGACATCAGATCATCCAGAGTCAGATGGTCAGACGGAACGTGCCAATCGTGACCTTGAAGAGATACTTCGAGGATACGTACACTCACTTTAAGAGTTGGAGTGAGTTTTTGCCAATGGTAGAGTTTGCCATTAACAACTCGGTGCATGCGTCCACGACACATACACCGTTTTACGTGAATGGCTTGCGCCATCCGCGTGTACCCACCTTACTAGAGTGTAACTCTGGTTTAAGGGGGGAGGGACTCGCGCGAGCAAAAACCGATTTGGTTCACGCTCATCACGCTCTGACGAAGAAGTCATTGCGTTTGATGCCGATATCGATAACATCGATATAGAAGATGATGCCAGTGAGAGTGCGGAAGCCCTCACTGAAGAAGATGATCCCAGTGAGAGTGCGGAAGCCCTCACTGAAGAAAAGGTTGATGTTGCTGCAGTGCGCTCACAGCACACTGAAGCTAACGAGTCATCAGATGAGCTCATACTGGCTCGTGAAACGGTAGTCCGTTTTGTGCAAGACTCCATCGCCATAGCGGTGGATAAGCAAAAGCAAAACGCTGACAAGAATGGAAGGGCAAATACTCTTTTATTTAATAAAGGTGACTTAGTCCTAGTGTCTACGGTTAATCTACCAAAGCATGTAGTGACTAACTTGGGTAGCAGTAAACTACTACCCAAATACATCGGCCCATTTCGTGTATTGCACCGCCTAGGCAATGCATACACGATCGAGTTACCACGTAAGATGCGAACGCATCCCACGTTTTACGTTGGTCGGCTTAAGCCGTACCATCAGTACGCTGCTTCTTCCGATGAAGAACGCCCTTGCGCTCAAGCATCTCGCAGAGAGCCTTGTGCTCCCGATGGTGGGCATCAACAAGGGTCTGAAGAGCAGCTATCTCATCCCGAGACCGATCAGCAATCCCACGAGCTACCCTTAGCTCGTCACGCAGAGATGTCAGAGATCTCTCGTTCTCAAGCTGAGCAAAGGCAAACTCAGCTCGATGCTTCGAGGCAGTGTCCGCCATTTGGAGACGCCTATTCCGCTCATGCTCGAGATCGTCGCGTAACCCTTGCGTTACGCGATCAAAGAAGCTCTCGGGTACACACCGATCCACATGATCGCGTGGAGAGCGTCTTTCCTCCTCCTCCACCTCCATTAGAGGACTCTCGCGGTGGCCAGCACTATCTAGTTGAGCAGCTGTTGAACCACCGCGACGTGAACGGACGTCGGACGAGTTATCTCGTCCGGTGGCGCGGCTATCCCCCGTCCTGGGATTCTTGGGAGCCCCGCTCCCAACTGATGATCGACGTACTGGGTCTGGTTGAGCAGTACGACGCGGCACATCCTGTGCCGCAGAAGGACCGCCGGAGAAAGTCTTCCCGTCACGACCGTAAAGGGATTTGAGGTTGTCAATCCCTTCGTACATCTTAGTAGAGATACGTACGCGCCACCACGGGCGAGTGAGGAGGTAAGCCTCCTTAGGTGCTCGTGCAGAGTTGTTCACACAACATGGGCACGAGTCTCCCCAAGAGAGGCAGGGCAATCCTTTCTCCCTTGACAGACGATGCAGCTTGTAGCGTGCACCTGTCGGGGTTCGCTTTTCAAACTTATCACGAGCTTTGATAAGTTTGTAGTTCCAAGCGTCACGACCTACATCCTCGAGGTTATGGATGTAGGCGTTCCACGCCTGAAGCAGTGAGGGACCATCACGTTTGTGATTCCCACCGTACCATCGATGTCTAAAGAAAGCATCGATGAAGAATTCATTCTCAGCGCGATAGTTTTTTGCACTGGGGTCAAGGTGATGGATCCTTGACGAATCGAACAATCGTGTTCGATAACGATCACTCGTCGCCGCCGACAAGTGATCCATGACGGATTTAGGAGGCATCCATGCCTTCTTCTCAGGAGCGAGACGCAACACATTGCGGTCCCACTCTTCCTGCGACGTGCCGACAGAAGTACTGGCACCTCGCTGTGAAGTGGTGTCCATAGGAGAACTGACACCACTATTAGCGCCCGAGTCTCGCGACCTCGAGCGCCTTCGCTTCGGCGATGGTTCATCTGATTCATCAGATGAACCAAAGATGCTACGACGCAAAGCATCATCCATGCCACGCATGGCAGGCGGCTTAGATTCAATCGCCGTCGATACGGATCCGTCTTCCGTATCAGGAGAGTATGAGACACCGAGCTCGTACTCTGTGAAGACACGAGTGTCTTCATGACCAGCGCCTGCATCACCATGTGACACAGGCTGGGTCGCTTCAGCAACCGATGAGACATCAGTTGCTGTGGTTTCTGCTTCGGCGTCCGCACAGAGACGTGCGGACGCGCTCTCGGCGGCCTTGCTCGCGCATCGCATGGGCTTGTTAACCATGCGATGAGATGTTGAAAAGTGGACTCGGACCAACAAGTGCAAACCCTGTCCCAAATGATTTGGGACGAGTATCCATTTAGTCAATCAGTCACTAAAGTGACTGATGGTTAAGGGGGGTGATGTAACGGGGTGAATCGTTACATAACAATTTATAAGAAATTGTTAATAGAATATAACTATAAGAGTTATATTCTCGGAATATTGTCATAAGGACAAATATTCTGTAGCACTTACGAGTAGTTCCTAATTGGTTGATATAGGCCATTATATCAACCAACGAAGACGCGCCACGACAGACGCACGCAATGAGTGGTGAGCAGATAACTGATTTACACATTTGTATTTAGACATAGTTAGATGAAGATAAATAGTGATTTATTGCAGACATTAACTATACTAAATACAGTTCTACTTTTTACTTTAACCAAGTACTCGCTTCTTCTTACCGTCTTCCTCTGCACGTACGAGTGTACGTGAGGTTACGAGGCACCGCCTTATTCTGTCATCAGAATAAGTAGCTTGTACTGTCACCAGTACAAGCTTCAGGGTGCCCCGTTACAAACCTCACCACCACGGAGCATGCGTCTGCTATACTTCGAAGTGGTCGCGCTGGCCGCTGCTTTCGCTTCGATCCATGCGGTTCCGACTGCTGTCGACCCGGTGCCTGTTCATGAGTCTGACGTCACTCTCGTGCTTCGTGAGACGGATGAATCCGTCATTGAAGCAAGCGGAGCGAGATTGTTGAGGGCCGTTGTAACAAAAAAAGGTTTTGTTCCCATGCCAACTATCATGGAGGAGAAAGCAACCATTCTAAGCGTATTTCGCCGTTTCGTTACTGGAACCGCCGATGAAACCAAAGCTTGGACGACGGTCTTGGCGAAAAAGGCTGACACCGCATGGAAGAGAAACATGAAATCAACAAACGATTTTTTTAAAACGTTGAACAATCTAGCGAAATCATTTCGGCAGGCGGAAATTCTCCAAAGAAGCTTAAGGTCCTACAGGAAATGATCGCGATGGTTTCCGAACGCAAAAAAAAACCGGCGGTGAATAATGAAATCCCTGCTGCTGCTTGATCGTTAACACATCAGCAATTATAGTGTTGCACTCCTAGCATCGTCTCGTACCGCACGCAACTTAAAGCACATTCGGATAATTGTTAAGTAGACGTGGGGTATCACATCGATTGATGTTCTTATTATAGAATGCCCTCGATAAAAATACGTAGTGAACTTCATTTGTTAGCACACGTATTATGTCGTACGGCATGTGTAAAGGAGTTACACGCAGTTGGGTACCTGGCTCCCTGTGCCTTAGACACACGGATGACATCGCACTGAAAGATATATAGAATATCTTGTCGGTTTATAGAGGCCGACTGGTGTCAGCCACCAGATAGGAGAGATCTTAGTTGTACTAACTTAGGACATAAGTGTCTAGATTAGGATTAAGGTATTCTTTAGGTGTAAATGTAAATAAAATTCAGTTCCCCTTTTGATCTTAAAGACACGTGCCTTGCGAGGCGTCTTTGGTCGTTGATCGCTGCTCACTAAGAGTTAGCAACACCTCCCTGAGGTAGCTAGTTACTCTTGAGCACTAAGCGCTATCGATTCATTGAATTGTTGTGTCCCCTGGAACAGGGACCTCGAGCTTTACACTTGTAGACTCACTGAGTCTATTCGTTAGAACTAAGTTGCTCGTAGAGCATTATGTCTTCCTCTGACTTAAGGAGCTGTGTAGCTCCGCTACATTTGGTAGCACTCGTAGTCAATCTACGCCTGATTCTATATGGCTGATCCTCTGTAAGGACCGAAAATCCCTCTCCCCTCTCTGAGGCCCAAAAGGTCGCGCTTGATTAGCTGACCGCGTGTTTAAATTTAGTGTTGCGAAGCTACAAAGCTCCTTAATTCAGAGTAAGACTTAACGCTCTACGAGCAACTTTGTATTTATAAAGAACGAACGAATTTACGAGTCAACTAGCTTTACAGCTTCAGATCCCTGTTCCAGGGGACCTAACGATTTAGTGAATCGACAGCACTCAGTGCTCAAAAGTAGGTACCTCAAGGAGGTGTTGCTAACTCTTAATGATCAGTGATCAACGATCAAGACGGCTCGCAAGCCACGTGTCCTTTAGATCAAAATGGGAACTGATTACAATTTTTTGTAAAAGCCTATTGAATATCTTAATCCTACTTAAATATCTTCCGTACCTAATGGCTGACACTCGCCATCCCCTACAAACCAATAAGAAATTCTACATCACCTTCACAAAGGGGCACCCTCAGGTGTGTAACACCTCTGGTACAAAGTTCCACAATTCTGTGCAACCCCGTTACACCCAGAGTACGCGGATTTCCTTGTTTCACAATGCCCTGTGGTGCTTAATGCACGTGTTGAAGGCTTCATGCAGTATGATCCTTCTAGGGCAGGTCCAAGACCAATTAGCGTCCGCTGTGCCTGCACGCTATGTGTCTGTACAAGACGAAGAGGCTGGTCCTCGTCCACTTAGAGTGGAAGTTTAGAATTACTCTGGAAAGGAGGGTGAAGACCTCATCCTCTGTATTCGTGAGATCGAGTTGGCCATGAGATCAGGGCTGATCAAGCTAGACCATCGACAGGTCTCGCTAGCTATCTCTAAGCTCGATGGAAGAGCTAGAGAATGGGCCCTGACATGTAGCACGTCGGTGGACTTAGCATTCACCACATGGGAGTTGCTTCAGTCACAATGGGTAACAGGTGTTATCATCTCCTAACCAAAGCTTACCGCGTGCATGCATGCTATCTTTCTACCCGGCAGGGTAGAATGAGTTATCGGAACTTGTCCAAGAGGTGAGAACTCACATGGCTGCAATGCAGTCTGACTCTCTGTCTGAGGCAGTTTGTGTGGCTATCTTCATGGAAGGTCTCCGTGACGACATTGTCGCAACCAAAGTCATCTGTATTCTCCCGTCTACATTCAAAGAAGCTGTGAGAATTGCTCGTAATGCTGAGCATAACTTCAAGTTGGCCAGACTTTAGGGTACAACCCTAGCTCTGCGAGAGCAAACTCCACGAGTGGTCCGTCCTTTGATAGGCCGGAATTGATGGGAGTCAGCTATGCTGAAGACGAAGGTGAAGTTGAACTTCAAGCTGCTGAGCAACAACGCGTCGTGAGACGATGTTTTACGTGCGGAATCACTAAACGATTGCGGCCTGGTTGCCATTTGTGTAAACAGCGTCAGGCTACAAGTCAACACTCAACCCCGAGGCAGAAGTCCGGAATGGCACGGGGAATTGCTGACGCTTAGTACGCGCTAGGCGCCCTACTGGGGAAGAACTAGGTTCTGTTGCACCTTTAGAAGGTAAAGGAAGGCAGGGATTATCCCCAAAGCGTACCATACCTACTGGGTTGACATAAGTCTGGATTGTTAGTGGCCGAGGTGAAAATTAAGGGCTTTGAGAGGCCTTGGTCGATCTTGATCGACTCTGGACCGTCTTGCAATTATGCTCGACGTCGTACCCTTATATGGATTCAGCGTTATGCTGAAGCGCTAACAGCGCATGAGGGCTATCACGGTTCGTTTAGCGACCGGAAGTCGTGTTACTGTGACTAAAGTTCCATAGGACTTAGGTAAACAGTTTTTAGACTTTGACAGTATTGAACGCTGTCCTTAAATTGGACTCGAGATGTGTTCTCATCTTTGGTATGGCTTGGCTTGAACGCCATGGGCCATGAATTGATTGGAGGTCTAAGACCTTAGGCACCACGCGAAAAGTTGCTAGCGAAGTTTAAAAGAGTCATAAATCCACCTTCGCTAGGCAGCAGAAGCACTACTGGCGCGAGCATTCGACAGAAGATGTCAATGTGCGGGATTTTGGAATGTCTGAGTTGTCTAACTCCATTGTTGTAAACTTAGATTCCGAGCGTAGATCGCTAAATATCGGTGATACGGCACGTACTCCGTTGAGTGTTTTCGTTGTGACAACGAGTCGCTTCATGCTGACAGCATGGTTGAACTAGGTCCAAATTATCAAGGATGCGATTCCGTTGATGTGTGTGAGGTGGCACTTACAAATTCACCGAGTGTAGTCGGCCGGGAAGGCACAACACTTAATGTCGGTAATAACAATGTCGGTGAAACGACATTAGTTCAGGGCTAGTCTCGCATAATGAATGTGGAGTGGCACGTGGCAATCCACTGGGTGAAGAGTTCGAGTTATGTTACACTTCATCGGATGTCGGTCAAGACATTGGCTCTAGTATATAACGCAGAACTGCTAGTAGTAATAAAAAGGATCGGTATTTTCCCGACCCCTAAGTAGTGTAAGGTCTCGAAGAGACGATCGAGACGCCGGGTAACACCTGTTAAGCGCCAGGCGTCCATACTGTCACTGAGTGACAACAGTGATAAACTAAATACACTTGTGAATGGAGTGAATGGTCAGGTTAATGGCAGTGTTTGCCTTGAAACCCTTCCATCTTTGGACGCTCTTTGTGAGCTAGACGAAATGTGTGATGGAGAGTTTAGCCAGGCCTTACAGGCAGGAGCGTTATCCGAAATAGCAATCATTAGACCTGATACTGAGTTGAACTCTTCCTCATTAATGGATGAGTCTGTTTAGAAGACACAAAGGCGGCACTTAGTGCACGAAGTGGATATTCGATTCTTAAAGATCCTTTGGACCCTTTTTATCCTTTGGTTAAGGAATTCAAAGATGTGGTGTGTCACAACCCACCTTCTGCCTCACCTTCCGATAGAGGTGTACATGAGATTGACTTAGTTCCTGGAACTAAATACTGTGTAACACGGCAGTGGCCTTTGCCTAAAGAACAGTGTGACGTCATTGACGATTTCTTTCGTGCTCAGCACGCTGCTGGTATGGTCCGTGAGAGCAGGTCTCCGCACTCGACACCGCCATTTTGTGTCAAGAAGCCAAATGGCAAGTGGCGCATTGTGCATGCTTATGATAAGCTTAATGCAGCCACTATACCGGCGCAGACGCCTATTCCTAGAAAGGATGTTCTTCAGAACAATATGGTAGGATGAACATTGTACAGTGCACTTGACTTAGTCGACGGTTATTACCAGCTCCTCGTGCGAGCGATAAATCTTTTGCTAACAGCGGTGAGTACTCCGAGCGGAGTTCTCTGGGAGTAGCTCGTTATGCCACAAGGGTATCTAACTCGTCATGCCACAGCGGTTGTCTAACTCCCGGCTATTTTTAATCGTCTGATGACGCAACTGTTCAGACCTCATCGAGGTTGCGCACAAACGTACTTTGACGACATCTTTGTCCCTTGTCTTGCAACGCATGGTCGATCGGATGTGGATAACCACATTGATCAAATGCGAGCGATGCTCGAGTGCATGCGCATGAATAATCTGTACGCTAACGCGTCTAAGTTCATCTTTATTGCAGAAGAGATCCCCTTTCTAGGGTGCTCTGTTGGGAAGCGAGGCCTTCGAGCGGACCCCGCTAAGGTAAGGGCCATAGCCAATTAGCCGGTTCCAAAGAACCAAAATGATCCACGTAATTGGCTTGGCCTTGCCAATTATACGCATAAGTATAGTGCGAGCCACGCAGATATGGCTCGGCCATTGTCCAATCTCCTTAAAAAGTATATAGATTGGTGTTGGGATAATACCGATCATGATGCTTTTTAAGCGGTAAAGGAGGTCTCCTACATGCGTCAATATTGTCTTTGCCCGACCCTGGTCGGACTTTCAGTGTCGTCTGTGACGCATATGACGTTGCCATTGGCAGTGCGCTGTTACAAACAGATGTTGATGGATGTGAGAGCGTCATTGCGTTCGAGTCTTGGCAGCTGAAAGCTGCTGAAAAGAACTATTCAGTTCATGACAAAGGGCTATTTGCTATGAAGTGCGCTATGGTCAAATTCAGAGTACATATGCTTGGCTCCAAGCCGTTTGTGATCTATACAGATCATGCGTCATTGCGCACTGCGACACAGTCGCCGCATCTCTCTCAGAGAATGGCTCATTGGCTTTCCTTCTTTGCCAAATACAACT